AAACGAAAGAATCTAAAATAAATCTTAATTGCTTGGATATTTGCATTAAATATTGAGTTAAGTAAGGAAGAGGATGAAAAAAAATACAACAACAAATGAAATAAATTATTCTGAATATTTTAAAGAACGGGAGAGATTTTGAAACATTTCAGCATGTTGGTCATAATGTTAACATGCATTCCATTCGTTCAAAAATTGCTTTTTGTTAAAATTTAATTTTTTTTTGTTGCCATGTCGATGGTGGGAGTGTGAAGTTATTGAACTCCGGGATTAAATTGTTTAAATTTTAAATTAAACATTAAAACGAGAATTTGATGATTTTATTGGAATCGTGCTGATTTTTTGTTCCTCTCTATTGTTTGCTTAAATTTGATTCCATGTTTTTGTTTTGACGTGATGAAATCACAAACAGCTTTTGTAATGGAAATTGACAATTGCAGCGAGATCAGATTCATTTGTAGATTTGTAAAAATCAAATTTTTTATTTGCTATAAAGTTACTATAAAATTCCTATTTTTTCCTACTTTGTCTTGTTAACTTCGAAATTAAAGCCTGGTTCCTATAAAGTTGCTACAAAATTCCTATTAAGTTCCTATAAACTTTTCTTTTTTTTGTTAATTTCAAAACTTAAATCCTGTTTCTATAAATTTGCTATAAAGTTACTATAAAATTTCGTTTAAATTTTTTAAAACTTATCTTCTTGTAATTTAGAAATTAAGACCTAGTTCCTATAAATTTGCTATAAGATGATATAAAATTCCTACTAAGTTCGTATAAACTTATATTTTTATATTTTCAATTCGAAATTTGCCTAGTTGCTATAAATTTACCATAAATTTCCTATAAAATTTTATAATTTTCCATAAAAATTTTAAAAAAATTATAAAGTTCAAAAATTTCAATTTTGTGCTTAAAACTTTTCTTAATCTAAAAACAGCAGTTCCAACAAAAATTTATTCTGACCAAAAAAGTGTCCAACTTAAAAGTCATGTATTCCATAAAACAAATGTACTTATAATGCACTTTTTGCCACCTAATCTCTTTCATTTTCTCTGTCCACAGTATCAATGCTTGTTGTTGCTCAATGCAAACTAAATTTTCCTTTTATGCAAAGCAGAAAAAGTCAGATTTATTTTTCTCTCTAAACTCGAAGTTTTTTTTTCATTGAATTCTTTTGAACTTAAAATGAAAATTGTAGAAAAAGTTTCTTTATTGTTTTGCTGTTCAAAGTTGATGATTGTGCAATGATGGGAAGGAAGAGTGAGTGAAAAAGAAAGAAGAGAAATTGAATGAAAAAATTTAATCACTGAAATAGTTGATGCAATTTATTATTCTTGCAATATCATTTAACAACACAAAACAAAAAAACATTTATAGATGTGATTTTATTGTGATTGCGGATTGAATGACATGAGCGCTTCTTGAAGACTCTTGAGACTAGGGTGACTCTGGTACTTAGCTATGTAAACAAAATTTAATCAATATCAGGGAAAGCTACCAATCAGCCCCTTTAACCTGAGTCGATTTCTGTTATCTGGATGTAGGTGTAAACTATTTATGAAGGGGCTATCATTTATAGACCATTGATTTTATAATTATTTAAATTACTACTGAAAAGCTACTAGTAGCTTCCTCTATAAATAATACACCTACTTGCTTCCTTCATGTACAGCATCAGCACTTGAGAGTTTTACAAAACCTTGTCATGACGATTCTTTTTTAACTGTAGAAGAATTGTTCTCAGATGAGATTCGAACCCATGCTCACTTACGTCGTAACAACACAAAGGATTACAAAATACAGATCTATCACCAAACCATTCTCCCTCAGAAGCCTAACAGTCGCACTGACAGAATCGCCTTCATATAGCTTGATATCCAGTGTTAACTCTGCTCGGACAAAACAATAGCTGTAATAATTATATCTAGTAAAACAACAATTAAACAAAGACACACATTCACAGTCAGGATATTAACTCACTTCCTATTTGACAATGCACACAAAAAAAAAATGGAAATAATTTTAATGCAAAATAAAGCAATTAATTTAAATAAATTTCTATTTTCCAAGATATTTTGATATTGCATAACAAGATATAAAGCCTGAGCATGAGAATGATGATTATTTATGAACACTGAATGGACAAAAGGAAGAAGAGATGAGAAGAGAATTTTTTTTAAGAGAAATCGTAAACAAACAATTAAATTCAGATTTCATGTTCTCCTTCCCAATGTCTCTTTCATGAAAATTTATAAATTGTCTAATATTCAAAGCACGCCCAACAACAAATAACAACAACAACAACTATCAATTCTCTTTTTGCCATCACCATCATTTGAGTTTATCTGCCATGCCTCCCCCAAAAATGCAATTTGAAAATCACTGAAAATACTTTAAAACTAGTTCTATACTGATTGTTTGTATCTGTATGTGTGTATGGGGATGCGCTGATAGTTATGCATCCAGTTTTTGGATGATAATTCAGTGAATTATATAGAAATATTCAGCATTTAATAGTTGTGCAAATATGTGTGCCATTTATTAATCTCTTCCGCGTGCACAATAAAAGGCTCATTTGCTGTTGTCACTACAGTGATGGCACAAATATATCACACTGACACAAAATTATTTCGCGCGGACAATGCGAAAATTGGCATAAAAATTATATTTTTTGTAGCTTAATAGCTTGATTATGAGATTAATTGGGTTTGGGGTTGCTGGTTGTCTTATTGGGTATTATGTGAGTTATTGCTTTGTTTAAAATACAACCTAGTTAAGGAACTATGTTTGTATAGCCTGGACGTTGAGATTTCTCGATACTTAAGGAGTCTAGTGCTTAAAAACTTAATATCCTAGTCATTAATAAGTAGTTTCGGGTTCAAGACTCAGAATATCTTCTTAAAGTTTGCTGAAAATGAGAATAAATCTTGTAATGTCGAAGTTTTGTTGTAATATCCAAATCAACTATGCAGCTGGTATTAACAAGGATAATACTATTGAAATTCAACAACATATTGAGTGCTCAATTCTAAACGAGTACCTACCAGTATCTCTCGCATACCCGGATATTCATAGTTTAAGAATTAAGACATCTCATAGTTCCATACATCACATAATTTTTGAATAAACACAAAACTCAATTCTCAGAAGTGTGAGAAGAATGTCCAAAAAAATTGTTAAGAACGCAACAGTTCCATTAAATTGACATCAAAATTATGAGCATCTCATATTCACAATCACGCTTCATGTACCATTACATTGTAACATCCTTAAACCACTCACAAAATACGACTTTGTAATCCTTAATTACAAACATCAACAAGGCAATTGAATTTCCAGTCAAAACACATATATGAACATGTCGTATGTGTACCAGCATCAGCAACTCAACGCATATATCATCTCAGTATCCTTGGGGCTTTTCAACTCGTTTTAATGCTGTATGCATATACACACACTGAAAAATGATTATCGTTGATTAATCAAATAGAAAATTTGATTAAACATTCAATATTTGCATAAACAATATTTATTTAATTAACAATTTTTATGGCTTTTCTCGTCTCTTATTCTCCTTTTTTCTGTATTTTCGATTGAAATGACTGATGATGATGATGACGATGGAGTATAATTTAGGGTAGATTTAAAGGAAGATCATTATCATCATTTATGTATTTTTCTTTTGAATTATCAATATATATTATACTGTATTTGAGCAACTTATGGATGTGTGTAGCTTGAAAGAATAATATTGAAATGTAAATTCTATACATGCATAATAATCATTTGATGGAATAAAATTGAGGAAAATTTTGCTTGAAAGAAAGTCATAGTCGGAAGTGAGGAATAGATAAAACGTAGCAATTGTTGTTTTGTGAGAGAAAATATATGGAAGATGGAAAATTTGTGACAGTTTCTTATTTCTTCTTGCTGTTTGTTATCACCAGAAGTGGAGAGCAGCTAGCGAATGAATAATTTATAAAGTCACTAGGTAAGACAAAAGCAAAAGGTATCTCTTGTGCTTCTTATTTTTGTCTTAAATTTATTTTTTACACACTTTTTGTGGGGAGAACAATTGCTGATGTGGGCGGTTAGGCTTTTTATATTATAATCCTTGATTACATCCAGAAAAAGGGATTCAGTACTGATCAACGTATATATTTATCAGTTTTACATCCTTGGTTCTAATTCCAAGATGATTTCAATTCTTTAGTCTTTTAAACAATCAGTCGTTAAGTCTGTCATATGCATCATGCTGCTTGTCCTTCAGTCCATTAGTCCATCAGTTTTCTTGATCTATAAACTCTTACAGACACAAAACTCTAAAAAAATGCGCTTTCTAACCTGACACCTCTCAACTTTATATACTTGTTCCTTTCTCATGTAGACTCTTTCTAATGTTTGTTGCCTTGAGAATTTGCAATGGATTAACGTCAACCATATGTGCGTGTTTGTATGTATGTGTGTGTGTGTGTGTGTGTGTGTGTGTGTGTGTGTGTGTGTGTGTGTGTGTATGACTAAATTGTTGACTATGTAAGCATGTAATCGACTTTTGGAATCCCTATGATGGTACAATGGCAACATTTAGCATGGTAAATATTTTATGAGGATTAGGATACATGCTGATAATTTTTTTTCCTTCTTTTTATTCAACAACTGTTTAACATATGGTTGACATAACATAAGAACAGCACAAATGTCAAGAAGAGAAATCATGAGATGTACAAATGTTTTTTGTGCTTCATACTCACCAAAGTTGATAAACTTTTGTTATTGTTTTGTGGATTATTTTATGTTATTCAATGGTATTTTAGCTACTAAGATGAACTTATGAGTTTGAGGACTGAAGTCACAGTAGTCAAAGAGAAATCGAATGACAACAAAAAGTACTCACCACATACACAAAAACATAAATCAACAGAATATATGAAAGTGAGTTACAAAATTACCAACCGACTCCCTGTGTAAGGTTTTCAGAATTTTCACCAACAATTTTATTTTTTCTGTCAATAATATTTTTCATATAAATCGACATCTACCTTACTAAAATAGTGTTTAGCAATTAGAAAAGTGGAAATAATAGTGTTATTGATGAAGTGCCGCTGAAAGTTTAATTATAAATTCAAGAAAAATCGATATATAAAAAAAATTGAGGACAAATCTTTTTCACTTTTTTTTTCTGAAACAGAAAATTTATGAAAATTTTCACAAAAATTATCGAAATGAGACACTTTATAAGAAGCTAATGCATAAGATTTCATTGATTGTAGAAAGTTTTTGAGGTTTAAGCTCAAAAAGTAGGATTTTGATAGATTTTAGGTAGATTTTAATTGATAATAAAAAAATTTCTCCTACATGTCCTTTGTCTCTCTCAAAAATATATATACATACAGACTGTGGATGAACCATTTTTATTCTCACCTCAGTGACTGAAAAAAATATATTTTTTTTTCTTTCACTTTCTTTTGCTACTTAAAGAGATTTGAATTTTTATGAACATATAAATATTTTTTTTTTCTTTCTCTTCTTCTTTTTCTATCTCTTTGTGTGTTGTGTCCTCCTTTAACACACAGTAAAAGTGTAATGAACAACGATCAGCCACCAAATAATCAAGTCAACAACCAAGACGGTGGCGTTTGGAATAACGAACAAGAGAATGATCGATTGAGCTTTGAGGACTCTGATAGATTTTCAGAAGGCTCCTTATGCTCCTGGAGCTCAGAGCAGGAATCTCTGTGCAACAATTGGCGTGGCTGGAAGAAGCCCAATCTTAATATTACAAATTCGTTTGGTATAAGCTTACCAAGACGAAATCCCGATGATGTTATATCACTCACGGAGCTAGCAGCGCGCTGTGTCGCATCGTATATCCCATTTGAATTAGTTGAACATGTCTTTCCTCCCGTTCCAGAACAGCTACAATTGAGAATAGCATTTTGGAGTTTTCCGGATAATGAGGAAGACATTAGATTGTATAGTTGCTTAGCAAATAGTTCAGCCGATGAGTTTCATCGTGGTGAACAATTATTTAAGAATAAATGTGTAAAAGACCCCCTGCAAATTGGATTTCATTTATCGGCTACGGTAATCTTACAGCAGCCAAAAAATCAGTATAATGTTGCAGTCACATTCGATAGACGACGGATCTCGTCATGTAATTGCACATGCACATCGTCAGCATATTGGTGCTCTCATGTTGTGGCTGTTTGTTTATTCAGAATTCATTGCGTAAGTTTTATTTTATAATAAATAATTTTTTTTTCATGCCAAACTTTGTTTAAACAAATTTTTTTTGTTATTATAAAAATATGTGTTTTTAGCCAACAAAAGTAAGTTTAAGAGCACCAGTGTCAGAGTCGTTGACTCGATTGCAACGCGATCAATTACAAAAATTTGCACAGTACTTGATAAGTGAATTACCACAACAGATACTCCCGACAGCACAGCGTTTACTCGATGAATTACTTAGTGCTCAACCGACAACTATTAATACAGTATGTGGAGCTCCAGATCCAACAGCTGGAGCGTCAATTAACGACCAAACAAATTGGTATTTGGATGAAAAGACCCTCCACGATAATATTGCCAAAATTCTCATAAAATTCTGCATGCCAACACCTATGGTATTTAGTGATGTAAATTATTTAACAAATTCAGCACCGCCAGCTGCAGCTGAATGGAGCTCATTATTGCGACCATTAAGAGGGCGAGAGCCTGAAGGCATGTGGAATTTATTATCAATTGTACGTGAAATGTATAGACGATGTGATCGTAATGCAATACGGTTGCTAGAAATTATCACGGATGAGTGTATGGCAGTCGATCAAATCTTGGTATGGTGGTTCAATATTAAACTCACACTGTTGATTGGCTATGGAAGTCATAGCGGTGGCAAACATAATAATGCTCATAATAATTCTAACTCTATGCAACATGCTTGTGCATCATTATGTGATGAGATTGTTGTTTTGTGGAGATTAGCAGCACTCAATCCAGGACTTGCACCCGATGAAAGAGATTTATTGCACGCTCAATTTACAACATGGCACTTAAAAATTCTCGATAGAGTCACAAAATGTACCGTCGCATCGTCTTCACATAATAGTCGACAACAACAAAATATGAGAAATGACACAGAGTTATTTACAGGATTTAAGCCTGCAATTGAAGCATGCTATTTGGATTGGGAGGACTATCCAATTCCTGGAGTTACTCATACACAAGATACAAATCCAATGTATCACTGTCCATTTGCATGCTTCAAATCGGAATCGAAAAATGATGGAGTGTCAAATGGCATAACAGTACATTCGAGTCAGGCGATTTTACAGAATAATGTAAAGCAGTTCCACTCACAAGCACATCATCATCATCACCATCATCCACATCTTATACACATGACAAGTCAACCTGGTCCATCAACATCAGGTCAAAAGAATAATCGTCATCGAAGTTATGCGTCAAGCAGTCAAAATAGTCAAAGTAGTAGTGACAGTGTCAACAATATTGACCTAAATCCAGTCAATTTATCTGCGAATGACTCAAAGCGAAATGAAGATTTTGGTGGAAATCGATCAAGTGTGTCGAGTGAAGGTTTTTGTGAGAACGAGGATGAAATTGATGATCCACAAAATTCATCAAAATTATCAACATCACGTAAGTCGCAGAATGCAGACGAGTCATTGGACAATAGCTCGATGTTATGCGATGACTCAATGACATTACAAAATGATGCTACAATTAATGAATATGATAAGAATGAGAAGGTAAATGTAAATAATGGAAATGACTTAACTTCACCATCCTCATCAAATTCATTGTCATCAACATCTTCGTTGTCCATTGTATCACAAAAACAACAACAAAAGCAACAACAACAACAACAACAACAACAACAACAACATATGATGAGTAAGGTAAATAATAACGGTAATAATGAGTATCAAGAACCAACGCCGTCAACATCATCAACAAATTACGAGAATGTCAGTCTTCGGCGAGAGAACTCAAGACGATCATCAAAAGATGACTCGACAAGTTCAGATAGTCAAATAAATGAAGACTATGCATCGATGTCAAATACTGAACAAAGCAGCAATAGTAATAATCATGTCAATGTCACTAACAATGTACACAATAACATCCATAAAGAGATTGAATATCACAATGAAATTCGAGAACAGAGTCATAATGAAGGAGCAGCAATGGTATCGAATGCTGAATATTTTCAGAAACAAATTCAAAATGTCTTTGCTGCACAGTCACAAACACAGATACAGTCACAGCCGCCCACACAAGAGACGAAAATGCAAATGTTTTCAAATCTTAAACCCACGGAAGATGCTTGGGATATATTGTTTGCACGAGCTGAAGGACTTCATGCTCATGGACATGGAAGGGAAGCATGCATCCTTGCTGTTCGTTTGGCTGAGCAGATGCTTGCACATCCTCCAAATTTGATGATTGAAATTCCACCACCACCAAAAAGGAAAGGCAAGAAGCACATTAATCCAATATCACATCAAGTAAGTGTATTGGCATCAGCTACGCTCTCTAAATGCGCTTTCCTTTGTACCGTTCTTGCTGAGAATTCAGAACATTATCATATTGCATTCCGCGTATGTTTATTTGGTCTAGAAATGCCACGTCCACCAGCAAGTACAAAACCATTGGAAGTGAAATTAGCAAATCAAGAATCAGATTTATTGGCATTGCTTAAGAAGATTCCATTGAATGCAATGGAGCTTAAGATTATACGTGATAGAGCTGAGGCTTTAAGAGATGGTACATTAAAGTCTCGGGGTGAAGCTCTTCTACCGATTATGTTAGCCAGCTTTATTTTTGAAGCTCTCGTTATGCCAAGTGTTACAGGCAAGGAGAATCGAATGAAGGCATTATGTGCTTCATATCGTTATCCAACGGATGAGAATTTAGGATTTGAAGCAGCTGTTGCTGCATTAGGATTAAAAGCAAATGTTTCCGAGGCAGAACATCCATTATTGTGCGAAGGAACAAGAAGACAACGCGGTGATTTAGCACTCACACTCCTCTCATATTATCGTGATGAACCGCGAAAAATTTGCCGTATCATGGAGAAATTATTGGATCGTGAGATACATTCATTGATAAAGACACAACTGCTACCGTCGTACTACTCAAATAATCCACCAACGAGAAGTCAATCTTCACAAATGCGACTTGATGCTGAGGTTGAACAGCAATATGCTGGAAATGAGTTATTGAACGAGTTTAATGGAAATTCACGTCCACAAAGTAGCACAAGTGCTGAATTAGAAAATGGAATGTCAGCTATGAGTCTTAATCCGATTCCCGGAACCTCAGCTATTCAACCAGCAGCGAGTAGCACACCTCCACAAATGATATCAGGTAATATCACTGGAACGATATCGAGGACGAAAGATTTACGTTACAAAGGAAAACGAGCATATCCGTCGATTCCAAATCAACCATCTGAAGCGAGTGCACATTTCATGTTTGAACTTGCAAAGAATGTACTTACAAAAGGTGGTGGAACAAGTTCAACGTCACTCTTTACACAAGCAAACGCCACAAATAATTCTCATGATCCACATCGTGCACTCCACATGTGTGCTTTTCAAATTGGCTTATATGCTTTGGGTCTTCATAATTGTGTGAGTCCAAATTGGTTATCGAGAACATACTCATCTCATGTCTCTTGGATAATGGGTCAAGCAATGGAAATTGGAGCACCAGCTATATCATTCTTAATTGATACATGGGAAAGTCATTTAACACCACCCGAAGCAGCTGCAATGGCTGATAGAGCATCATCAAGAGGTTGGGACGGTAATATGGTATATCCTGCAGCTGAACTTGCACTGTCTGTGTTACCACATGCTGCAGCATTAAATCCAAATGAAATTCAACGCGCAATTTTACAATGTAAAGAACAGAGTGACCAAATGCTTGAGCGTGCATGTATAACTGTCGAAAAAGCTGCAAAAGGAGGTGGTGTATATCCGGAAGTTCTATTTCAAGTTGCAAAATACTGGTATGAACTATATTTGCGAAATACACCCGGCGGTGAATTGGAACCAGAAGAACAGCATGATTACTTTAATGTTAATTTAATGTCATTGGTCGAAAGTTCAAATGAATTGCAACAACAACAGCCAGCAGCTCCTCCTCCTGGACCACAACCAAATCCCCAACAACCTTATCCACCACCACAAATCCCGCTTCCTCAAATGGGAATGCCAACCTATCCTTATGCTCCCTATCCATGTCAACAATTGTATCAAAATATACCCTATCATGCTCCAAATCAGATGCAAATGTACATATCACCACCACAATTCTCGTATCCACCACCCCAGCCACATGCAAATAATCCAAGTGCACCCTATGGTCAACCACAAATCCCACCTCAATTTCAAATGGCACATCAACAGCCTTCACAAAGCTATCAACCGATGCCAAATCCTCCTCAACAATTCCCACAAATGCCAGTTCAAGTAAATGTTCCGCCTGGTGCGAATCCAACAGCTGGTCCTGCTCCCATGCAATATTTTGGTAATCCACCACCACCAGTCGCAATGCAACAGCCTGGTGCACCGAATATGGTAAGACCACCTCAAATGGTTGTATATCCACCATCTGCAGCAAGTGGCTCATCAATTAATGTCCGGCATCGTCATCAATTCAGTCCAACGCAATTGCGATATTTATTGCAAGCATATAATGTTGGAATGTTGGCATTAGAAACATTGGCGAGACGTGTTCATGACGATCGCCCACAACAAAAATACGCGAGAAATCCACCGTACGGCGAAGATGTTAAATGGCTATTAAGAATTTCAAAGCGACTCGGTACACAATATTTGCATCAATTTTGTGTATGTGCTGTTAACTCAATTGTCAGTCCATTCATATTGCATGAGGTTGCTATCGAGTCAGCACATTACTTGGCGAGAAGTAACTCTAATAATTCTGCATTGGTTATGCAACATTTGCGATCAACGCTATTGCCACTCGTGCAGAAGTGCCAGCAAATGTGAGTTTATTAATTTTTTTATATTTCTGATATTTCCATTGACTTTGTGCATTAACATACTTTCGATATACAGGTACATTCAATGCATACACACAAAACTGTATCACTTAACGGTTGCTGATTATGAAGAGTTTACAAATACAATTTTGTCAGCACGTGCTGCATTCCAAATCACACCGGAAGGACACAATCAATTTAAAGATTGGATTCAGTCGATTAGAAGGTACGAAAGCTAATTATTGTTGTTTAGGTGTAGGATTGTGAGTTTAGGGTGTAATCAGAGGATGGGTTGGGTATACATGTAACTTAAATATGACACTAATCCTTTTCTTCCACTTCCTCCCACTTAGGTCAAAATCATGCAAGAAAGAGCTTTGGACTCAGATAAATGCTGCAATGCAAAATCAAACGAAATGACAGCGGTTCGATACAATTAGTGGAAATTCAGACAAACCAACTCAACAAAATGGACAGCCATCACATTATTATTCATCAGCGGCTACTTCATCAGCTATTTTTCCCACTTTACAGCCACCAAGCATGCAAATTGTCGTCGACTACTCAAATATGTCGGCCTGCATACCAACTACAAAATTTAATCAAGAAGAGAAATGAATGTTTTTTTGAGCGTATCCTTTTTCGACACGTAAGGCACTGACTTGCATAAAGTAATGAAAACAAAAAAAAAATAATAATGAATGATGAAAACCAGAAAAATTGTAAGTTTCATTGTATGAAATATAATTTCTCGTGACTGTCATGATAGATTCTATTGACGGTTTAGACTGGAAAAAGCACATAAATTTTAATTCAACCTTATTTTTTTGGTGTAAAATATTTTAATTTACATGAAAAACAAAAAAAAATTATCTCAATTCCATTCTTAATTTTACAATTAAAAGGAAGTGATTTTTCATTTTTTTTTAAAAGGAGCGAGATTTTCGATGAAAATTGATGGAACTGAATAATTCTTCTTTAGATTACTTTGAAGACTTTAACTTCTGGGAAGAACCTACGCTCAAAAAGAATGATTGTTCTTGTACGTCAATTTTCATGAAAAATTTGTTCAATTTTTGATCGGCAAAAAAATTTAATTTTAAAAATATGATTAAATATTCTCTACATACAAAATAGACATAGAATATTTTCTATCATATCGTTGTGTCGGTGTCAGGAGAATTAATTGAGCTTTTTAGATTCTTGAAGATTTTGCTCGGTTCTGTGACTTTCTTTAAGGGTTTTTTGATTATTCTCAAAAGATCTTGACTATGATTTTAAAAGGATGACATGTGGCACATCAAGAGTATCATAGATTAATGAGGTTAGATACAAACACTCTGTTTGTGTGATTTGTATAGCCACGTCCATCGACAGTGTTGGCAAACTAGAATTTAATTTGTAGAGTAATCATTTGAGGATGTTTTATAAAAATGGTTTTTAATTGATAATTTTAAGATTAAATGATCTGATTCAGGACTTCCTGCATATCCTGCATTTCCTCAAATCTAATCATTTGCTCATTAAATGAAGAAGCACGATCTTTTATAATGACAAAATCATCTAAGGTTCGAATTCGTATTACATCAATCTTTGTAATTGTTGAGAGATCAATTTTCTGGTAGGAATCGAACTCACGTAGTTATGAAATCAAGATTACAAATTTTTGGTATTTAACCCAACCACTCTTCTATAAAGAATTAATCTCTTGCAATGACAGACTCAGCTTCATATGGTTTGACTCCCCAGACTGCACAACAAAACTACAAAAGTAATGAAAATTCAAGAATCTAAAATACTCATCTGTGATTCCATTCCTGACTTCTTCAACATCCTACTGAATTAAATTTCCCCCAAAACTCTCAAACTTTGTTTTTGAGAACTCAAACATCCAAGAAGCTTTCATACAATTTCTAGTAAAAATTTACCCATTTTTGTTCTTTAAAATCAAACTTTAGTTCAATTTTTTTTTATTTCTTAATTATAAAAATGTATTTATCATATAAATTAGATTATTATAGTAAGGATTTTTCTTCTAATTCTAATTTTAATGAAAAGTGGAATGAAAAAAAAAACAAAAAAATTTAACAAAAAAGAAGTAATTTCCATTCATTTTAGTGTCGTAATTTTACAAGATGAGAAAATGAAAAAAAAAAAATGCAAAAAATGATGAGAGTGGTAGTTAAAATATTAAAAAAAGCAGAAAAAGATGAATTATATTAGATGTAGAGTGTACTTGTAAGCTATTAGAATTTAAATAACAAAGTTTTCTCGTTTTTACTTCAAACTGGAAAGAAAGACAAAGAGTCCTATTTTCAATCTTAATAACAGTAACAAAAGATCCAGCACGTCCCAAAATATCTCTTTTGTTCATTTTTACTTGTATTTATTATTATACATGACACAGCACGGCATTAACGCCTACAATTAATAAAGCAATTTTTTCAATTTCAATCTTTGAAAAGATCATAATAGCATAATAATAATGAAAAACTATGAAAAATTTATAAAAAAAAATCTAGACAAGAAGCAATTCAACTCAAGAAGAAAAAAAAAACCAGAAAAAAGTTTCTTACACTGAACCGCCGTTAGTTTTGTTTCTTTAGTTCTGCTCTTTAGCATTTCTATAAATCAACAACACATGATGTAAATAAGTAAATGAAGAACTTTCTTCTTTAATAATAAAATCTCACACATATGCAGACAGACGTAAATATTGACATGGATGGTTGATATCTGATGTTTTGTGGTTAATGGATTGATGGCAAAAGTTGAGTTGATTTTGTAGAAATTCTGAAAATTATTGCCTCTGAAATATTAAATTGTTGATTCTAAATTAGATTTTATATGAATGCATAGCTAGAATGCAACTTATAACTAGGTTGGCTAAATGCTTAAGTTTTTAAAATACAATCACGAACTTACATCAAATTAGGTTCATTTGATTTATTCGGAGATTTTTATTGTTTTTGGAAAAATCTGGTTCTTCATAGCCATTGATGTTTTTTTAACCTAATCTAGGTTTTCAGTTTCTGGCAGAGCTCTAAGTCGACTCCGCAATACAAAATCGATAAAAACCTCTAGTCAACTTTGAGGTCTTTTCTGGTGATGGGCATCTCACTTTACTAATGATATTAGTGTCTGTAAAACAATTTTACTGTCGATTCAAATTGATGTCTTCATACAAAACCCTAGTCATTTTGATCAGTTCCGCACCATTGGTTGACGTGCCAATAAAGCTAAGGATATTGTCAATGTTATTGAAATGAATCATTTAATTCTTTTTATTTTTGAATGAAACTTGCACATACGTGTTCAAAACGTGCACAGTTGAGCAGTAGATATTGATTTCATTGATGATTGAAACTGGAAATCCCGATAAAGTATAACTTATGTTAAAACCAACAAAATTAAATAACAAAGTTAAGAACGTCATTAATTCTGACTCCAGAAATTACTAATGAATAAAATTTCGCAATGTTTCTCTGAATCTTATCAAATAACATTAAGCCATTAAGACCATACCACAAACCTTACATCCAGATCAACATTATAAACACAACACACAGACTAAGACAACAGAAGATAAAAAACTGAAACGAAATGAAAAAGAAAACACCCACGAAGGTCTTCAAACTCCCTTTATTTCTTCTTGTGCTTAACTATAGTGACTAAAAACTCTCTTATTGTTCATAATAAATTGTTTTTTTTTTTTTTAAGAGAAGAGAGATAACTAATGGTTGTTCACATCTATTAATAAGATAGATTACATATAATCTAATGTTGCACAATGAATAATCTTCGTGATTATTAATTCTCATATTTTTTTTGAAAAATAAACTTTTTATTACTTTTTTGTTTACAACGAAAACAAGCAACACATTTTGAGAAAAATTGGACATTTCCGGTGTGCAAATAAAAACTTTTTTTATTCCCTACTCAAACCCGACCATTTTTGTGTTTTCCTCGACAGTTTTTTGAATATGTAAAAGAAATGAAACTTATACACATGATGTACATACTAATGACTCTTTCTCTTTTTTGAATCTGCTATAATAATTATTTATTGACATAAAAAGTGAATTAAACGTAAATTGAATATTAAAAAAAAATTATTCAAAATCACTATATTTATACAACACAGACACACATACATACATACAATTCTATTTTATAAAAGATGGTATGAACTTAAAAATTATATTTACATTCAAGAAAAAAAAAATTATAAATGATAAAAAAAAACATTTTAGTGTATAATGAGATATAAAAAGAAAAGGATGAAAAAAAGAGAATCTTTTTGGATAAATTTTTTTTTCTAGGATAGGATTTTTTTGTCTCTAACCTCCTGGCAGAGTTTACATTTCCACAGTGCTTTTAAAAAGTTTGCATAGCTATTGCTCTGATGTTGTTTAAAGAATTAATGAGAAAAATGTTCACATTAAGAATGTAATAGACTATTATTAATTATTGTCGAACTTAAGTCGATGAGAATAAATTTGGGAAGAATTTTGGATTTGCTTGTGGCAGAAGATCTATGAGATACCGACTTACTCGATATCCATAAAGTCTTTTTTAAGAACTTAATGCTTAAGTTGTCGCAGAATTGCAGATTGACAATTTGCAACATAAATGCTGTCCATCCCAATAAAACAAAAGCATATTTATCAACTTGAATGTCCTCAATTTTTAAAAATTAAAGCAAAGCTATTCAAAATTCTTCCGCGAATACATGCTGAGTAATTGAATATTTGTTACATCCTGCCACAATTTATTATCAGACAATAAGATTGAATACCATCCAAGAATTCTGATCAATCTTTTTGCTTGTTGACAACAATTTGGAAAGGCTGTAATGAAACTTTAGTTACTTGAGTTTTGAAATGTTTGTGATGAAAGATTGAAGATTAATCTCGATAAATGACATAAAATTTCAATTCATATTAAAAAGCCATGATCTCTTGAAAACAATATTAGCAAGGTTTGAAATGTAGAAATATCATTTTGAGCTATGATCTCTTCTTGGTTTAAATATGAACATTTTTTTTGAAAATATCTAATTGAAATTTTATTCATTTATTAGATTTTATGAAGATTTTGTGATCTTTTGAAACTTAAATTATCAATTTGGAATATTACATGGTTCATAGACTAGGTTCTTTATTTTAAAAACCAAAAAAACTAGGTTTTTATGTCATGGTGCAAAAATTAAGCTACAAGAATGATTGATCAATTCTATGAACCTTAAATCAAGGAATCTAAGTTTTTGAAAGTAAAAGAACATTGTTTTGAGTCTCTACTGGAGATTTAAACTTTTAAGAGCTTGTAAACATCATTTAATTTTTTTTCATTTGTAAAGAATAAACATACCGAATAACTTTACAAATCAGAAAAACATTCAATAATGAAGCACTTCAAATTCAAGCACATTCTCAAGTTGAACAAGCTTCAATTACAGCCACTTGAGAACAATTTTTCTCAATTTTCATCACAAAACCTCAAAACTAAAGCTTCTCAAGACAAACTAAGCAACATTTTATGTTCAAATGCAAGAAACATATTTTCAGTTTTCAAAGTTTTTTCTTCTTTATGTTTTGCTCCCCTGTAGACTTTTTATCCAATATTATACATTATTATATTATTGGAATATAAATATATATTAAATATATTATACATATAAATAAATATAAAGTAAAGTAATGAAAATTATTACAGAGAAAAAAAAAGAAAAAAAAATATTTTGAGGAAAAAACATTAAAAAAATTTAAGAGTAAGAGAGAAAAATTTTAAAAATAAGAAAAGAAGAAAATATTTCACATACACACATAATAATATACTTACGACCTGAGTGACATGGGGTGAGATGGGTGGGTTGTGGTTGTGACAATGGTTTTTTGAAACTTTTAAACTTTTTGATATTTTTGTTTTTAAAACTTCAGTTTTGAACAATTGGATTTTTCCAAAGTTTTTAAACTTTTTTGAATTTTATTGGTTTTAAATGTTTTTATTCTTGGACTTTTAAGATTTACGAATTTTAATTTTTTTTAAATTTCAAACTTAAGATTTTTTTAATTTCTTTAAAATTCATATTTCTTAATTTTTGTAAATTTCAAATTTCAATTTTTATGTAAATTTCAAATTTCAAATTTTATGTAAATTTCAACTTTTATTTAAATTTCAAATTTTGAATTTGAAATTTATAATTTTGTAAAATTCTAATGTAAGTTTCAAGATAAATTTAACGTAAATTTTTAAAATTTTATTTCAACTTGAGAATCCTGACAGCCACAGATCACCCAAAATTACCCCAATTCCACAAAGGTTGCTGCTTTTTTCAACAAATTTGTTTAAATTTTAAAAGCAGAAACTGTTTTACAAGGAGATTATTACAAATTACAAAGTTCTTTTTTATTATTTCATACACACACAAAAGAAAAACAAAAACAAAAAAATCCACACATACATACAAACATATATTTACATACCTCCGTTGATACTATTTTTAACATAATTATTTGTTGAGCAAATAATTTATCTACACATGAAATTAAGAAAGAGCTTTTTTATATATACACACATACACACACACAGATAATGTTTACTTACCGACCTTTTTTCCAGGCATTATTTATGATTTTATTTGTAAATTTTAAATTATGTGAATTTATTTTGTCACATATGTTATTATTTGCCCAATATCTCTCTCTATCTCTCTCACTCACTCTCTTTTATTTCTCTTATTATTTTAAATTCAATCTTTTTTGTGGAAAAAATTTTAAGTGAAAAAATGAAGTGTCTTTGTATATTATATTAAAAATGAAAAAAAGAAGAAGAAAACAGAATCTTAGATGAAGATGAAAAAATACATAAAAATATTCATTTTAGACTTTAAGTATTTCAGAAATTTTAAAAATATGAAATAAAATTTAAAAACAGCCGATAAACATTTTTGTTTTAATTTCTTGAAGGTCTGTGAATTAAATATTTGTGTCTTTTTAGGTCTATTACAGTGCTGTTTGTGGTGACACAATTATTATCTCAGTAAATAAGGTTGTAATGAGGTAGCATTGTTGTAATTATGGTTGATAGCTACTGTTTTTTTGAACTCTTTTTATGAATTACATGTAACTAAGGCTATTGGTAGAGTTAATATTTGAATCGTTTATTAAAAGTATGAGAAACACGGACAGCAATAAATATCAATGGCCTTACGTTTGAGAGAAAGTAACCCATTCCGAAATTCTATCTTTTCTAGCCTGGTTCTAAATTTGATACAAAATTTCTACAAAGTTCGAAAGATGCATTAAATCTCATGGGAGGTAGACTTAAGAACGCAATAAACTTTATCTGCACTCAATTTAAACATATCTTAGAATTTCACATTTAAAAATGTTTGAATTTCACAGTTTAAGCAGAGGCAAAATACAAAGCAAAAATTGTTGAGAAAAAAAAAACGCAAAAATGTTTACTTTGGTGAAATTTCCACTATATTCACTTTGTATTGGAAAAAAAATTGTCAAAAAATGAAATTTTCGCAATACTTCCTTCCGATGCAGTTTATGACCAAAATTTTGATTGGAACTGATGAGAATCATGATTTAAGACCTTTTGACATTTAAAAATTTTTACTTGGATGTTTCAGTTCCTTTAAATTTGACTTTTTCGATTTCGTTGAAAATTTCATCACAGTACCCCCCCCCCCCCCCCCCCCTTGAGTTTAAGACAGAAACAATATCAGCTGATTCCAGTTAATAATATTCAGCTATGAGTCGTCATATGCTTATAATCTCCAATAAAAATGATTTTTATGCAACCCATCCTCTACATCAAGTTAAAAGTTTCAAACAAACAATTTTCTTATAATTGAATTAAATTTCAGTCCTCCTTTTAATGAGGAACATCATATGTGATTGACCCCATTAGTAATCCAGTCTACTTACTAATCCAATCCAAGCTTCAATAAAAACAATTCAAATTAAGATCAATTGAGCTTGAACTCTCCTTAATCCACTTTTATCTCTATTCATCTTCTCAATCAATTAACATTCATGTTAACAACTCTGCTGTACAGCTTACCTTAAACAATTATCTTAGTCATTTCTATAACATTTCATCTGTGCATTGAAACAATTTTTTTTTGTTTTCATCTCTTCATCACCATAAAAAGTAACACAAATGACCTCAGATTTTAATAACGAAACCAAATCTCTTTTTAAAGTAATTTTAAGTTTTTAGTTTAAAACAACACGCGAGGTCGATTTGGACGAAAAGAAGAAATAAAAAAATAAAGCAAAAAAAAACTAAAAATTCTCACATTAACTGGAGATTTTTTTATGGGTAGACCTGGAAACTTGTTAGCGATCTTATATAATTTTAATCTTCTTAGCCCAATAATGTTTTATTACAATAATTACTGTAAACTAGAATGGTTTTTTATGTTGAACTTGTGCTTTATTGTGGAATTTACTGCTTTACTTTGGAATTCTTAAATGGCTTATTCTAATTTTCTGGATAGGAATATTATTTGCTGTAAAATTAATTTTCATAGTGCAATGGAGATTAGCTTTAAGACTTTTCAAGCAAACATGAAAGCATATTCTTTATTTAATTAATCATTCAAGCTGAAACTATTACTGGGGGTCCTCGATTTGAGTAGATTCGATTTGAGTAACGAGAATTAATGAATAGAAAATTTAAATTATTTTTTTGTAACGGACATTTTTCATACAAAAAGTAAATAATTCGATTTGAATAGTATTTTTTTGGAACAAAACACCTACTCAAATTGAGGACCCCCATTATTGATTTTGGAATTACTAGAGCTCAACAAGATAAATTAAGCAGAAGGAATAGAATTGGGAGAGATATGGATCTGTCAGAACCTAATATTGAGTCGATATCCCTTTGTTGCATCTAGAATCTGGTGAAAAATATTATTTTCCAGTATATCCCAGCTCTAGACCTTTCATATGCCCACATTAGTAGAAAAAAATTAAATTTCGAATAAGACACCGGATATCACATGTTGATCACGTCAAATCTATAAACATTTTCTTATAAATTTCAGGTAATATCCTGTATTAAATTTAAATCACACTAATAAAACATAAAAATTGACTACTTTAACCAAATGATACCCAATCTATATCTCCGTTAATCATTAATTCTTGCAACCATACCGGCGACATCTTCACTACCATCTGCGAGAGCAAAACTTAGAAGAAAGCATTTATTACCCACACTGATTAATGGCTTTGCTTATTGTCTATTTCCATACTTACTGTAACAGCTGCAATATTTTATCACTAGCCCATGATATCCATATAAAAATCATCTACCCAGAAAAAAAATTAGGTAATTTTAAAGCAAGTTACGTAACAACATCATTAATGTTAACAAAAAGTTGGACAAGAATTATCAATTCATAGCGCAACAACCTAGCGATAAAAGTAATCGTAATGTAAGCAGAGGAAGCAGCTACAGTAAAAAAAAAATGCTATATGCGCGCTACGAATGAATCATTAACCGAGGAAAGAGTTCGTTGTATAGGTAATTAACATCTGAGACTCGTGCTTATATGTGGTATATGAATTGAAAACATTTGCAGACACAATGAGTGGATTCACCCATTAAAAATTACTGTTGAGCTGAATTGTTGAATGGATGAGGACTTTTGGGTGGCTGGCTGGATATATTGAATTTATTTTAGGACCTTGTATTAACGTGCTTCATCGCAGGCACAACTTTTTGAGCTTTTTCAGACAGATTTTCGATATTTTTTAAAAGCTTTATTGAAATTTGTACTATGGCGCAATATTGCGCAGTTTATTAAAATTTGAACAATGGCGCAATATTGCGCACTTTACTTCTGGAACTTATTACTGGTGCTGGATGTTGATACATATTGAACTGTTTTGCTGAAAAACAGAAAATTAATTGTAAATTTGTGTATAAAAAGTATTAAAAATAAGTTTAATTGCAGCCAATAACCATTGTGAAGTTGTTTATGTTGCTCGAATTGCTGATCAAGTGGATGCCAAATTCATAAACTTTATTTTAAACAACCTAGTTAAGTAGATAAATGCCGATTAAAATTGATTTTGGAAACATTAGGTTTTATGTCTCAATTTTACATTTCAATTCCAAAATATCCATTACATGCTGGTTACATAAAAACTTATAAAGTACTTCATTTAATGCTGAAAATGCGCACTATGATTTGAGTCATTATCAACCATAATCATTAACTTCGCAGCAATTATTTCTTTTCACTCTAAAGATCAAGAAAAAACAATGCAGGAGGAAGGTAGCGAGTAGAAAGAGGCAGTGAAGTGAGAATGCCTTTTATTAAAATTCATATTAAGAACATCGAGGTAGGAACCATAAGAGTAATAACACACCTGGAAGAAAAAAGAACTGTAAAAAATTAAAAAAATAACAAAAAGATTTATATGATTCCAGCATACTTGCCATATCAATTTTTTACTTTATTATTATTGTCTATAAGTCAGCTTTTTTTTTCAATTTTATGTCATTTTTTTAGATCACTCTATATAAATTGTTTTTAAAAATTAAAAACTTTCGAAAAACAAAACATCTAAATACGTAAAAAATAATGTGTGTCATAATAATGCATAAAAAATTATGTGGTTTACATTCGAGCATGAAGGAAATAAATTAAATAATTTTTTTTCGATACCTAAATTAAAATGCAAAATGCTTCTATTATCGCGTACGGGTGGACCATGTGTATGTGACATAATTATTAAATGCCTGGCAAATTAATAATTAGTAAAATTTTAGCATAAATTACAAATAATTATTCATTATGGAAAGCTGCAAATATTCCACACATACAACAAAAAAAAATCCCTTACATTTAATGTTCTTCGACCGGAAAAATAAAATTATGAAATTTTCTGTGATTTTTTTTAATGTGCATGTATGATTTTTATGTGTATAGTTATAGAAAAAGGTAGCATAATTCAACTTTCAGTCTCACTAATTTTTTTTTCATAAATTTTATTTTTGTGTTGCTTCGTTAGCATAAAAAAGCCACATAATCTAATAAATTAAAGCATAATTTGTTATCGTTGATGCGCGAAAAAAAAAAGAGAAATGAAACTTTCAGTTTAAAGCCACAAAAAAATTAATATTTATTTCAAAATGATTCTCGCGGTGAGTTGCTAATTTGGGATGCGAATAGCTTCTTAATTTTGTGATTCATAGCTGATGATAACTTATGTTATGATACATGCAAAATTGGTTTTGAAATCGTCCGGAATGAATCGATTTCAAAATGTATTTCAAGGAAACTTTGTTGCTATACAGGAACTGATTATTTTAATTTGGAACGTGTGGATTTGATGATTTTTTTGGTCCATTAAATGCTGATTTTTTTAAAATAATATTTTTAATTGGATTATATTGAGGTCTGTATCGCATGTGCTTGTGCAATTACTTCGTTGATTTACGTAGATTTGTTGGATTTTAAATTGTCTGAAACCAAAAGAAGCTTATTTTGTAAACAGAACTGAGTTTTATTCTGTTAAATAAGAGGAATAAGCTAACAAGCATGTAAGTTCAATTGGTATTTAAGAATTCTTTGTTTCCTCCTAAACTTAGGCTTTAGTTATGGTATCAGAGTACATTTTATATGTTGAAGAGACCCGAAGCTCCTTTGAACTCCAAAAAAGGGTCTGGATTCGAGACGACAATTCGGAAGCAAAAGTAATCTGACTCCCTCTAGCTCTATGACAGCTCACCGGTAAAGCTAGTAGCTACTCAATAAATATCAAAAAGTCCATAATTTCTGTCAGCAATCAAAACCTTATCTACAATCGAAAATCCCTTTCATGTTCTCGTTGCCTTCCGATGCATGAAGATTTTAATAATGCCTGATATTCTCAATTTTTATTGCCACTGCTTCCATAACTAATTGATTTATGAATGTGATGCTATTGTGAAAATTAAATTGATGACCTCTGCATCGAAAAATTAAGTCGTAATTGGAAAATTAATAAATTTCAAAAAAATCTCATCAACGACAGCAACTAATCCACATTTACATTTAAATTACAAAATTTCCTTAATACGATTTATTTTCCATTTTTAAATTTTATTACTCGTGTATGATTATTACATTTGTCAGACGTCTTGCCATAATCCAATTTAGAAGGAAATCACGTTAAAAGGCAACATAGTCATTACTACTGACTGATCATTTGTAAAATATAGTAAGTAGTTTGTATACAATAAGACTTAACGACATAAGCAACTTACATTTTCTCTTGAAATGATCATGAACATTATTTCATTTAGATCATGCAAATAACGAGATCTGCTGAAATGAGTTTATTTATAAGAATGCACGTCTTCATCAAGCAAAGGTTAACTAAGTTTTCAAGTTTGAAATTTCTAGGGCAATTGCTATAATTATTCGCTATTTATTTGCAATTTGTTGAATTTTTGATTTTCAGTTCTTTTTTTTTAATTTCGTGAAATCGGAAAAAATAGTCAGGAAACTGCCAAAAAAGTGTTCTCAAAAGTTCATGAACAGTTCCTCGAATTAAGGTTGAGGTAAAAGTGTTTTTCGGCACTCCTTTAATTGAAATTTTGATGAATTTGTTGGAATTGAGATTTTCTCTTTTTTTTCAATGACAGCGGACTGTTTTATGATTTTGATTTTAATTTATGAAGCTTCATGAACTATAATTAATTTTTTTTTATTAAAACTTAATGTCAGAAAGTTGTAATTAGTCATTGTCAATGAAAGCTGGAATGTCTATCTAAATTTAAATTGCCTTTTTTGGATTAATGAAGAGCTGCAATCAATTATACTTTTTCATTAAATTTTTAAGACTATAACAGGAGTAAGTTTAGGCAGAAATAACGAAACTACTACTTTTGATCTTTTTTTCGTGCTGACTTTAAACTTTAAAAATCGTTGAATGATTAGTAAAGATGAGAGTTGATCTCTGAAGATGCAGCATGCATGCAATACATTTGAATTGATTCAAAAAATTCAACTTCTTCAAAAACCAATTTCAAGTTCACCAAAAACATATTTGCAACAATATTTCAATGTTTAAAACATTTTCCAATAATTCCTAAACAAAATGCCTTACAAAATTATTTCAAAAATCAGCACACGCATCTGATTTCATTTACATTTTCATTGATGTTTCTAAACATTTAAAAAACAAAAAATTCTCACGTGCCTTAGCATCAAATACCGGCATGCAAATATTTCAATCGAGATATTTTTGAAAATAAATATTTTTGAAGCCTAATTTGTAAATCTACAAGCTTAACAAGTTTTAAAACCCATGCTTGTTTAAAAGATGATTCACATTAAACAAACTATAAAGATGAGCTGTTTATTCTCTGTAGTACGCCTATTCAAGACGATAAACTAATGATCAGTAGTAATACAAATAATAAATATTGAATATGAAAATATTCCACAATAAGGAAATTCAGCAACAAAGAAAATTGTGTCAATAGGAAAGGCGTAAGCAAGTCCATTGTTCACTCTTTCTACTATCATGATGGATAAATTAATTGGCAACATTTCCTTAGAATTATTTCCAACAACAGCTGTAGGTTTTGACAGTTAACGAAACGTTTATTAATTGTCATTGCAGTGGCGACAATTATCACGTTTTTATGGAATTTTCGTGTCTTGATATCATTAAATTCAAAGACTTAATCGGTTGCGTTTGATGTGATTTTTGTCAGGGTTGGAGGAAGCAATTTTGAGCATTGACATTCAGTACTTTTGACTGTCTTTGGCTGCAACTTAATAATAGAAGTAGAAGTTATTGTCATTTGAACTCTAAGACATGTTTTCAACAAAGTCCAAAGCAAGGCATGGCCAGGAAGCACTCAATCCCTTATTTTTTTGAATAACATATTTTCTTCAAAAATCTTTGCCATTGACCAAAAATTTGCGTCCAGTTAATGACGTCCACGAATAAAAAGTATTTAACTCTGTTTACTTAACCTAAATGGAAGCTTAACAATCTTGCATCTTACAAGGTCTGCGGCAATCAAAACACAGTTCCAAAAATGCAGTTGACAGGAAAAAGATTGTTAACAAAATGTTATGACTTTTACTTCAAAATACTCCACAAGCTTGTTAAAACAGAACCAAGCCTTTTTTACGATCTACCAATAAATAAATTTTGTGACGATTAGGAATCATAAATAAGCTCCATGTCTATTTTTATCACACAAGACAATATCGCGATGATTCAACCGTATAAGTTATAATGGTACCATTATGACCTTATCCATTCAGCTGCTCTCAACCATGAGCTGTTCCGGTAAAGTTCATAAGAAATCGTGTAAAATTTACCCAAATCCAAATTACAGACTAAATTCAATTTCCTTAAACTGCAGCTAAAATGCCTCAAATCCAAATTCGCGAGAATTAGCTTCAAAAACACCATAAAAATGTCAACAAAATGATTTTTGTAAGGTTTCCATCAAAACGAAATCAAAACCAATGTTCAACCTTGCATCACAAATCGTTCATTCACCACGAGTATCATTTAAATGGAATGACTTTTTTTTTCATAGAAGACTTTACGATTTCAAGGAGTGAGAAAAAAAACTTGTATTGTAAATTTTTTAAAAAGTCGTTCATTATAAAATTTATATTTTTTGATCCCATTTTTTTCATAAAAATTGTGCATAAATTTTTTTTTCCTAATTAAAAAATTGTTTCTCATTACTCACTAAAATTAAGTAATGTATTATTAGCTGAATCATTTATCAGGTTATTACACTTGGCTATTCCTTTATATTGCTGTGCTTTAGAGCTTTTAACTAGCATTTCATCGTCACTTGTATTATTATTGTTATTATTATTACAGCTTCCTTTAGTAATATTGGCATTAATAATTGGAGGTGATTTTGAGTATGGAATTGTTTGTGTGATGCAATAGTGAGGTGGCGGTGCATTCATTTGACTCGATTCGAGTAAAATGTGATACCAGGTAAGTGGATTAAATTGTGGCCCCTCGCCACATAACTCTGGAGGCAAAATATCGCGAGCGACAGCTTCGTGAAGGGTAGACAGATTTGATCCGTGTAATTTAATACGTTCTCTAGTTTTGGAATTCAAAAATGGTTTTATGACTGACAGTGCTGCTTCCACAAACCAAGGCTGTCCGATGAAATGAACACCTTTGAAGCGTACTGGAAATGAGTCCTGTAATCCCTCAATCATAAGTTTTAATATTTTTGGATTTAAATGTGCACTCTGCTTCAATGTAAAGTTTGTCCAGTCGACAATTACAACAAATCCATTTGCTTGGTTCTGCTTATTTTCTATAAGCTTCTCAAGTGTCAATAACATTGCTCGGTATACCGTAAGTAATGAATATTGTGTATAGTCCCAATTGGATGCAAAGAATACTAATACTTTTCGTCCTCGTCGATCTCGATTCTTTAACACTCCCGGAAAGCCGTCACGCAATGCCATTTGTATTGTATCGTCGAGAACACAAAGACGCTGTAAGATGTCATGATTTTTCTGTCTATAAAGTTGATAATTGATGAGCAATTGAAATGCTTCTGTGACATTGAATTTTCTAGCGAATAAGAATCGATAGAGAAACTCATCATCGGAATAACATGATTTATCTCTTAGTGCTAAATCACGACTTGCTCCTATAAGATCTTTCAAAATTAGCAAAGCTCGATATCTCTCATTTGCATCGTGCTTATTGAATGTCATTTTTTCACCATCCATTTTTCCTGAACCGTAAATCGCTGCACCTTTCCCATGATATCCAGTTTTTTGATAGTGACGATGCCTCGCATTACTCGTGTAGTCATCATAAAATTCTGACATGATTTTCTATTTTAGTTTTTTCTTTTTTATTGTTTACTTTTTATTCTTTCACTCGACGATCAAATCATGATAAAAATTTCAATGGAAGTACGAAATAAGTCTGTAATGAGAGGAATCAGAAAAAAATACGTTAAATAAAAGAAGTAGCATAGCAACATCATGTTGGAATTCTTTCCGAACATAAATGAGATTTTTTTTCTTCTCCAAAATGAAATTGTGATAAATGAAGATAATAAGGTGGCAAACTGCATGACTTCACATACTTTCGGTCCGTTCGGAAAACAAAGCTTTTTATGATCTCATTTTGTATGTACATACACATATGCTTAATTATAATAACCTCATGGGCAACACACTTAACTGTTAATGTTGATTTCTTTAATAGAATTCGAGAAATTTTTATTATTTCGGCAATTCCTTAGGGGCTGTTCACTTATTACGTAACGCGAAAAAATGACTTCTTAGACCCCCCCCCCCCCCCCCCTTGTAACAAAATTTGTATGAAAAAAAAATTTCCTTGTTTGAATCGTAACAAAATCTTAGACCCCCCTCCCCCTAAAAGCGTTACGTAATAAGTGAATGGCCCCTTAGACTTATGAAAAAAAAAAACATTGCCTGCCTATGTTAGCTTATTTCGCGTTCTCTTCATATTGTCGTGACCCATTTATTATTACTTCTATTGCACTTACTTTTTCAATTATCGACAAAACATGAAAAGGTTTATGAAATTTCTCTTCTTATCTATGTCTACGCATATTTGTACCTTCATAAAATGTGTATTGCTTATTACACAAACATGGGCAGAGAATACAGTTGTTCTTGATAGAAGTTACGTGTGCTTTGGTAGCTGTTTTGGTGGTTTTTTTTATTATATTTGAGTCAATTAAATAATAAAAGCTTTTCATTATCATGAGAATTCAAATTGAGAGTTAGATGAATGATCCAAGCTGGTCGAGACACATTGAAATGCTGTCCTGATAGAAACCAAGTGGATAGTATACAAAAGAATCAAGAAGAAGCTGCTTTGTAGCTAATATAAAGAGGATCAGTTTGAAGTTAAAGCTAAACTTATGAATTTGACTTATCTGAGCCAAAATCATTCAGTTTGGAGTCTAATTTAAGAACGAATCAGGTTCTATAACAGATTCTGCACTCTTTTGACATTTAATAGACATGTCTACAAAACTTAATCTCTCAAACTCTTTCAAATTTTAGAACTAGACCTATTAAAAGTATTCTAATGAATAGATTATGTTATCCAGTCTTATTTATGTTTCTCGACCTCTAAACATTGTCAAGACAGCAATATTCAAAAAATAGGGTTAACCGACAATTGGCCATGACATTGTCTAGTTGTGATGTGCTCCATTCAAATTTCTATAAACTGAGCTAACCTAAGCAAAAACATTATTTAAACATTCTTTGCTTCTTTCCTTGTTTTAATTTGAGAGAATGGTATTCAAATATGAATCATCTTGGATTCAAAAACTATAACATTGAAAATTTATAACAAATTGTTAATGAAAAATCTGTTTTACATGTAAATTGAAAGATTGATCAGTAAATAACATTTCAAGCAAGAAGCTTATGAAGAATATTTGAAATCTCAACAGGAAATTTTCAATTTAAGACCTTATGCCGTGAGAAAAAAATTAGATTAAACATTTTATGCAATTCATGGCCATATAATCAGATTTATTCATTTGAGTACATTCACCAACATTCATATTTGCATTATCCGAGTAAGCTCACCAAGTTTATAGATATTAATCTGTAAATAATGATAATTGACGAACACAGAAACTCCTAACCTAAGAAGTTGAGTAATTAATTGAGATTTAGAGACATAATTATTGAGTTGTTGATTCATAATATGCATTAACTTCTTATTTTTAAAGCTCACATGTCCTCAAGTAATCAATATTGAGCCCCACTTATAAAATTCAAATTTTCATTCAAAATACGTTCCTCGAGACATGTTGGATGTCAACATGAGCCATGTGCCCATGATTCTATAAATCGCACGTTTCGTTTAGTATAAAAAAATTGAGAATATGAGAACAAAATAGAAACTTTATGACATATTGAGAACTAAGTGCGGTTCACTAACCAAATGAATGCAAAAAAATGTACACTGTGACAATACCTAATTTGGAACACTCCTTAATAAGAGTAATATTTCAATGATATTAAAGTCTTGTTTTCTGTCTTTCTATAACATTATATGTCGTAGATTGTTTTCGAAACGTGAATGAATCATCGGTAGTACCTTTAAATCTACATAATAAAGATGTGTAGTCGATTGAGACAAAGAACTTTTTTCAAATATGAAATAAAATATCGTAAAACACAGAAGAAAAAAAAAACTTTCACCGCATGACTAAGCATAAAGACGAAAACAGAAAGAAAAAGAACAAGCCCGTTGAATAGGAAGTAAATAAAGTGTAAAATAACCGAGTTCGTAATGATGAGCTTATTAAGCACAAGCATGCAGTTTCAAGATCTACAAGTTAGAGTGGCAACGACGATTTGCACTTTCCAATTAAGATTTAATTAGTTCAAGGCTTCATTGCTCACTATAATTTTGCAGATTTGACTTTTTCTGTGCATTAATAATATGCATATAAGTATCTATGACTCTTTTTCTTCAATTATCGTACGCGTGTGGTGATATTTAGACATTTCAAGCTTAATATATTAGGGATTATTTATTTATGATGTCCAATAAAGGTGGGATTTGTTTTCAAGTCTTTGGTCAGCTTCTTGCAACAGTCTAGTTCAATCTAGTTCAATTCAGAAAATCTAAAGCTTCAAACTATAAATCGACCATCAATTCTAAACGAACCCCTTACAACTCGTGCATATTGAAATTATTTTGAAGCCATTCAAAAAATAAGTAAATTTGCTGTGTGTAAGAATTCGCGGTCACTGACAAACATTTTGCAACTAAGTATATATTATTCACTTCCATTCCATTTGATACACAGCAGAAACGTGGTTGAGTTGTATGTACTGCTTTTGCTCTTTCTATCTCTGTGTTCAAGGAAGGTCGACTGGTTTTTTCTTCTTTAATTCATTTTCGTTCTTTTCTTCTCTCCATCTCTCATTCTGGTTTTCGGCATTTGTGCCGCATCGCAACAACAAATCATCAAAAAAAGAATATTCTCATTTTTTCATGTTTAACTTGAAATTTAAATTAAATTACGATAAATTATTGTAAATCAGACGAAAGAATTTTCACACAATATTAACGAGTACTGGAAATAACCAATTATAGATCTTTTCAAGAAAATTACAGAAATGGATTACTTCACATTTAAAAACCAATTTGAATTAATCTTTCTTTGTTGATTTGGGTTAGGTTTATTAGAATTAAGCGAGTAGATTGAATAATGTGAGTCATTTTTTATCAAGTTAATTTGAATTTAATTAATTGACTTGGTTTCGTGATTCGATCAGGGTAAAATAATTGACTGTTGAATAATTATAAGAGTCTATTATAGTTCAGAAGAGAATATTTCAAGATTTATAGTCTATAAATCAAGAGTGATCATGTCTAGAGCTCAGTTGACACCCAAAATTATCAAAAGTGATCTCATCGCCTCAACGAGCTTTATGAAGAAATTAAATGAACAAATAACCAAATATTACCCCAAACAATCGGGATTCCCATGCATCTACAAACAACTTTAGTTGACAGCACTTACTATCTTCTATCAACAAATTAGATTTACGACCGGTAGCAACTTATTTCATTTTCTTAGACATAATCCCCAATTTCTGTAGAAAGCTTACTTTTTTAATCACAGTTTATTTCTTTCGATGAACATCATCGATCACCGTTACTTTCGTTTAATTTATGAATCATCACTGAATTGCAATGTGTTAATAGACTTTGAACATTTTTTTGCACTTGCTAGAAAATAAAACTGTTTAATGTTCGGTTATAAATCTCTATAATATTGCATAATTTTGTGAAATAGTCAGATACATGCAGAAATAAAGCTTGTGTGGATTCAAGTAAGATGTAGACAATTAGGGTTGGAATCTTAGTTTTGTCGAGCTAGCTCCCTCCTCCCTTAAAAAAATTGTCAATTTTAAGACTGATTCAAAGCTTTTTTACTCAAACATCAATCAAAAATATCCCCTCGTATTTTAAACACCGGTAAAGTAACTGATGATTAATTATTCAAGCAACCAACACCCATAACATTTTGGTCTCTGAATTTTTAGAGTACAAAATTGTTTTTCAGAAAATTTAAGTTTAATTCCTGATCGAGGGTGTGATTGTATTTAAATCGAAAAAAACAATCTTAGCATTATTTAATATTTTGTTGACCGTGATTAAAATGTTAAAAGTCTTTGCACATGTTTTTTACGAAAAGCTAAATTTAAATTTTTTGAGACATTTTCCATTCACAAAGCTTTCTAATGATATACCTTAAAATCTTGGTTTCATTTGATTAGCTTTTAATTTTGTACTTAATTTCCATAAATAATTTGTTCCCTTGATAATTCATTCATTTCCAATTTTATTTTTGTTTTGGTAAAACTGTGAAAATTAAATTACTGAAACCACTGATTTTTGAGTAAATGTCAGTCAAACACACCGCATTGATTATGAAATTAATTTTTCTCAATAATTGTAACACATTTTTCCTTCTAAATTGCCAATAATAACAAAGCATCATGTAACTCATACCTTGTAATTGAGATAATTGCTCAAAAAATATTATAATTACAACTCTATATTTCTTAATGAATTTTTAGCACATTATTCAACATTTTTTTATATCAAATGCACATTGTAGATCTCATGCACACAACAGAGTAATAAAATATTGTGAAATAGGATTAAAAACTAAACCACACGATTTGATGTGTTTTTTTTTTGTCGGTATATCGAGAACTGTCACGTATCGAAATTAAAAATTTTTTTATCTTTAAATGCAGAAGTTCAGGGTTGCTCACAAAAGATATGATTTGACTCATCAGCTCCA